TGTCAAGTGCTACAAAAGACAAGAAATTGTGGAGAGCCATGATCGTTAACGTCCTGAAGGGACACGTTAGATGAAAGAAGAAAATCGAGCTTGAGTAAATGGATGGCGGAAAAGGTTTTAGGGGAAATAAAAAGACGAAATTTGCCAAGAGCTACAAAGGACAGAAAGTTGTGGAGAGCCATGATCGCTAATGTCCTGAGTGGACACAGCACGTGGAAGAAGATACATTGGATGTCAGAATTTAAATCTCGTGCTTTTTTTTTTTTTTTTTTTTTTGTATTTTTAGAGTTTTGATGTAAACTGTAACGGGTGTTCTGCTGTATTCCACCCCGTTCAACACACACACACACACACACACACTTTTATAGATAAGATTGACTCCAGCAATAAAACCATTATTAGTTTCAAGAAATTCCTTTCGGAGAAAAAAAAAATTACTAAAAAGGTTTTTCCATTTTGTCATTCACTTATCCACGATTTGTCATATATATTTTTAACTCATACGATTCTCATGTGTGTGTGTGTTTCAGTGTGTTTATGTCTGTGTAATCAGTGTTTGTGTTTGTGGGGGTGAAAGTATTAATCACTTAGTGCTCTGTAGAGTCAGGATATTAAACCTTATGTGACAAGCCGCAGTTTCCGACAAATCCTGTCGGATTGGTTTTGGAGAGTCACTTGTAAACCATCCTAAGTGTCAAGCACCTTACCACCTTTTCACAATCGAAATCGTTTAACGGGAATAAGAGAGTCTACTGCAAATATGGGAATGATCGCCAATGTATGAACAATAAAGAATTATTATATTTTTCGGATCAGGGAAAACAATAAAGGGTGCGGCAAAAGTAACGCCTTTTTCATTTGCTAATTTTGTTGAACAAAAACAAATTACACTAGTTTAAGTAAATGTACAATTATTGTCACATCAAAACAACATAATTTGTTATGATTAACAAACTATTTAACATGTTCAAAATACCCCCGTTCATGTTCAATAGAACGCTGAACATTATCAACAACACTTCTACAAAGCATTTGACACGTTCCTACATTAATTTCAGAAAATTTACCATAAATTGCTTGTTTTAATTCAGGAATTAATTTCTGTTTGAACATATAAACAATAACTTTCATTACACCCCACAAGAAAAACTCTGATGGTGTTATATCTGGTGATCGCGAGGGACACTTAATTGCTCCACAACGTTCTGTCCGCCTCAACTAAAAAAAAAAAGGGTTTTACTTTTGCCGCATCCTGTATATACAGCGATTACTTAACATCTTTATTTTGCATGCAGTAGTGATTCAAGTAGAGTTTTACAACTTGTACGAATTATTTGAAGTACTCCAAAGTACTACATATCCTGGATAAAAAAAAAAACTCTTATTCAAAATATTAAAAGCGTGCGTGTGTCCAATATGGTACTTCAAACATTCTTTGTCTTCTGTGTGCCGTGTCCCTTCAGGATGCTAGCGATCATAGCTCTCCACAATCTCCTGTCCTTTGTAGCACTGAGTAAATTTTGTCTTTTTGTTATCTCTCCTAAATCCAGTTCTGTAATTTCAGTTACACATTAGGTAGGTTATGCGATGTTTTTCTCTCTCTCTTGCCTTCAATATGCTTTTAATATGAGTGTCAAATTTTCCAAGCCTTCTTTCCTCATTATATGCCATCAAGCTCAGGATACATTTTATCACCCCCATTTTTTCTGCGCGTTCTGTATAATACACCATTGGTGCTTTTTAAACCACTTTCACTTTTCGGCAATATTTATTAGACTTGGAATAAAACATAAATATATGACGAAGTGTTTTTATACATTTTTTGTTCTTCAGAAATTACAACAAAAAAAAAAAAATTAAACATTATTTGTTTACTACATTGTTTATTTACAAGAATAATGTTATATTTACAACATTCTAAAAAAAACCCTAATATAATTAGAACTAATGCAATGCAATATTTATAATTTATCAATTTATAAAGAATAAACCCCAAAACAATTTTTATTCATAAATTTATAAATATTTACTAAATTATTAAATTATGTGAAACAACGATAATCCGTATTATTTACCATTTTATAAAGTTTGAATTTAATTGGCATTTTACCAACCATTCCAATAAATAATAAACAAATAATGTAAATAAACAATTTAATAAATAAATAGTTTATTATTTTTGTTGTCAATTCTTAAGAACAAAGACAGTACATAAATTCACTTTCACATCTTTAGGACTTATTCCAATTTTAATAATCGCTTTTTAAAACAATTAACGCCCGTGAAGTGAAGGTCGTTAAAATAAAAGCGGTGTCACAGGAAAAACCGTCCTTTTGACAATAGGGCATACTGCGGGCACAAAGGTCCATGTTTGCCAAACAATGAATCATTTGATCGCAATTATAAAGTGAAGTTAGAAAGAGGGATTATTTTAACTCACGTTTGACTCTGTGTTTGTGAATAATGTGGCCGCGTTTTCTCATCACAAGCTGGACTGAAAGAACTCATGATGAATCAGGTACGGGCCATCAAATTGAATATAAAGGCTGTCATCGACGGCAGGATTTGATTGGTACCTCGTGTCATAAGTAATGTAAGAAGAAATTTGTTCTTACCAGGCATTGGATAGGCACAGAGCATAAAAACACCAGACAAAATATACAAAATTATCTATCTATCTATCTATCTATCAGTTTAAGAAGTTGCAATTTATAACACGTGTTCGATATAAACGTATTTATTGATCACTCTGAACGCTTCAACCTTAACCTCTTTAAGTCAAGGATAAAACCTTATCTTCATAGTCAGACTAAAAACACCAGTTCCTTTTCGATTACCGAAGCAGCTTTGAGGCTAGTTAGTACTTAGAGTGGGTGAGGGGACATTTGGGGACACCGGGTACTGTAAGCAAACACATATAATCCGAAAAACGTTCAAATAACTAACAAAAAACAAATCACTCAATATCCTCATAATCATCACTTCCTTCAGCCTCCTTTTACATTCATAAATACGACTCATTCAGTAGACCCCTACCATGAGTGGCTCTTGAGCCTTGTATCGATTGAATGCAAGTAAAATAATTTTTTACCTAAAATGATACGTTCTTTTGTTTTTTTGAGCTGTTTAATTAATAGGAACGTACATTTTGTGGTGTCATTAATGAGAGGGAGAATAAGACAGAGAGACATTGAGGAAGAAGTGGACAGGACTAGTGTAATGTCATTAGAGTGAGAGAGAGAGAGAAAGAGGGACGAGAAAAATAAATTTGTCTACAAAAGGGAGAGGGTGAGAGGCTTAAATGATTGGGATCAACGATATATTAGCTGTCATGAGACAGGTCATAGCTCCCGACAGGCCCTGAATGGCTTCATTTCGGTCAATCTCTAGCAAATCATTTCAACGGTCAAAGACAGAAACACCTTTTTCCGATTGAAATAGTTCAAGGACTAAGAGGGTTAAGAAAGTTCACTGCAAACATTTCTTGGGCTTGACCACTGAGATAAATTACTTCAAATCCGGGAAAACAATGAAGCAATGACATCAAGGTTTTCCATTCAAGTAGAGTTTTACACTCCATCCCAACTATGACAACGTCAATTCTTCAGTTTTCCCCCATGATTTCTGTAGATAAAACACACTTATTCAAAATCAAAACAGACAGAGCATCTAATCTGTAATTCACAGAAACTGAACTTAATTTAGGGATATATATAAGTGATCACAGTCTTTTCAACGAGTGTTGAAATCAGGTACAGAAAGGAAACTAAGGAACTCCGACAGAATGTAATAAAGGAAAACGAGAAAAAAGGACTAAACACCATTTGTTTAGAAGACAGTCTGTATGGTTGTCAGCACAAGGAATAGTCCAACATGCGAATTACAAATTGGAGCAAGTACAAACAAGTAAATATCTAGGAAATGTTTTAAAAGAAGACAAAAAATTCAACAGCGAAATCCGAAACTGCATTGGTATAGTGAAAGATGCCTTCCAAAAGTTAATCAAAGTACGTATTAAGAAACAGGAAAATTTCGTTAGAAACAAAGAGCATCTAATTGTTATGCAATATTGGTCCTGTATACTAATGCATGCTGATCACATCTTCACAAATGAAGACGAGACTTTGGGCGATAAATATGTGTTTCTACAGTAGGATGCTGAGAATACTATGGACTGAATATCTGAGATATTTTAAAGAAAATGGAAGCAAAAAAAAACTTATAGTTCGCATCAGAACGAAGCAGTTTAAATTTCTAGGGCACATAATGAAAAAAGAGTGCTTGGAAAATTTGACACTCTCAGGACATATTGAAGTCAAGAGGGACAAAAAAAGAATCGCAAAACGTACGTAAGAAGCTTATGTAAATAATTGGTAGAACAGAGATTGGGCAAGATAGCAAAACGACAAACTTTATTAAGAACTATAAAGGAGAAGAAATTGTGGAGAGACATGATCGTCCACGTCTTGAAGAGACAGCACACACGAAGAAGAAGATGAAGAAGAAGAAGTCTGTCAACAGAAACAGGGAAAATATTGTGCAGTTTCATGAGATTTAGTGGTTACTATCCGAAGTTGGATATTCTGTAATGTCATAACTGGGTATAAAAGAAAGAAATAAGGTGGTTTTCTTAGCGTAGCTTAAATGTGGCACAAGGCCGAAAGTATGGGGGCAACCAGTGAGGATCGAACTCACTATTCAGTCGTAAGTGATCTAGTGAGACAAGCTTGCTAAATAATACATCGCATCGATTTCATATTCAGATTACTGAAATAATAAATAAAATATACAACAGCGGTGAAATACTAGAAGATCTCAAGAGATCTATCTTTATAGCGATACCAAATAAATCAGGGACAAATGGGAACTCCATCTGACAATCAGCGCAATGAGACACATAAATTAACTTATAATTAGGATTTATTGAACAAAACACATTAAATCGGAAATAGGCCAAGAACATTGTGGCACTGTCCAAGACACTTTAAAATGTTGAAATACGCTGAAACACTGGTTCTCGTACGATCATCGAAGTTAAGCAATGTCGATCTTGTTAAGTACATAGATGTGTGACCTCTTGAGAATATCAGGTGCTGTGAGCTTGGGTGTGCGGGTGCTGTAATGGATAACGACTCGGAATTGGAAATCAGAAAACTGAGTTGCAATTCCAGTCGCCTTCATTATAGTCACTTACGCGTAACTATCCTTGGGAAAGGTATGAATCCATCTCTTCTCCCCCAGATATGGGTTAATTAGTAGGACTTGTATCAGTAAAATCATTATAATCTTTCAAACATTGATTGAAGTAATTCTATTGTATGGATAAGAAATTTGGACATTATCTGTTCGCCTTGAAAGACGACTGGATGGAACATGTGCAAATCTACTTAGAAAAATCCAAAACATCAGTTGGAAATCCCATGCAACGCATAACACAATTTACGGAAAAGTGAGACCAATCTCTGTTAAGCACGAACAAAAAACGATTACAGTTTGCCAATTCCCGAGCGGACAGAGAAATCGTCTCACCCTTACTCCTATGGCATCCGTCTGGAAGTGTCTTCTCACGGAAATTGACTTTCCCAGACACCCGGGACTCAGGGTTGGACATTGGGGATCAGGGGACAGCAATACAGGAGCGAACAGTGTGGAAAGAAATTGCCAATGGATTTCCGACCAACCATAGGGAGGTCGAAGGATGATGATGTTGAAAATCATTATTATCTCACAAAAATTCTTACAATCTAAAAATATTTTTTGGCTCTAAATAATATGAAGAGGGTTGATAAGCCGTAATAGAAAAACAAAACAAAAAAAACAATCTAATTCAAAGGCCTAGAAGGAAAACTGGAAGTACAAGACGAAAGAACATTTTTTTAAGCATTTCACCACCAAGTCAGACGATAGTGCTACTAAGACGCAAGGGGCTACTGAGAGTGAAAGAGAATAAGAGGACTTTAAAAGGAACCAGAAACCCAATCCTAAACAAGTAACAAGGGATAAACCTGTACTCCTGATCCGGACGATAGTTAAACCTATCTACACCTATAAAACTATTAATTGTAAGCAAACAGAATTCAGGGTTATCAGCAAAAAATACAGCTTACAATATGAACTACATTTTGGTGACGTCAGAATTAAGTCAGTAGAGATATTTAACCCTATCCGAATAGTGTAGTAACAGACAGTGAAAAATGTGACATGGAAATGTCATAAATGTTGAAAGTTTATAGGAATAACAAAAGGAGCATTTTTTTAAATCATATCACCCCAAGCAAGGTAATAAAGTCACTAAGACACGAGGAGTTAATGAGTGTCAAAGAATAAGCAATAAGAGAAACATTATTAAGAATCGAGAACAATAGAAGAGTAATCAAGAAAAAAAGTCGATAACGATTGACATTGCATTTAAAATTTTGAAGATCAAAGTTGGTTGGAAAGCATGGAACCTGAAGAGAGCTCCACAAGCGAGAAGTGAGTGAGAGAAAAGAAATTGCTAGCATAGAACTTACGGTTACATCTAGCCAATTCAACTGTGAATTGACGAGACCTTGCCGCCAATCTAGTACTGCACTTAAATTCATAAGGTCTAGATACCATTGCGAAAAGTTCATCCGAAAAATTACCATGAATTATAGAAAAGGCAGAGGAAAGCTACATTATTGCGGTGGAAAATTGACCGAAGCCGAGACGCCAGGCGAGGACCAATAGTATTGCTGATTCTTCTTTAGATTTTATCAAGGAGTTCTATATAGATAAATAGCAGGAGCACTGGACCACATATGGCAGCGATATTCAAAGAATGTACACAAAAAAAAGCAAGGTATTAAGAGGGATGAAAATATCGTTAGAAAGAAAAGTCTCTTACATAGCATTACGATAATGCGGAAAGACGACATTGAGAATATATTAGTAGCACTAAAAAATAATTGTCTTCTCTACAAACCATTTCATACATCCGAAACGTCGCAAGCCTATTACTTGTCTTTTTATTTACTTTAAAAATGTTCTGATGAGCTACATTCACTAGTTTCACCAGTTCAGACATTCACAGCTAAGGTCCGGCATGCCATGTACACTCGAAGAAATTATCCCCATTCACTTTGTATTCTATTAATAAGAAGGAAGTTTCATTCGGACAGCTTCTTCCCAAGAACCCCCACATTGTGGAACAGACTCCCGACTGAATACTTCCTCAATTGATACAATCTTAACCTCTCCAAGTCTAATGGCAAGCGTTATCTTTATGTATTTCTGACCTTTTATATTCATAAAAACAAACTTATTCAGAAGCCTTATACTTTGAGTGGCTCTTAGGCTTTCTGTTGGGTGATCAATTATTGAAGAAACATTGAAGAACGAGGAAACAGTAATTTACTTAACGAGTTTGTGTGAATGAATGGCAATGAGTACAACAATAGATTGTAAATTATTAAAAGTTACTTCAAGCAATAAAAGACGGGAAGTTGTGGAGAGCCAGAGTCCAATACTTCTTGAAGGGACATGACATAAAAGAAAACGAATCCAAGTAAAAAAGCCACAGTAAAAAAAATCACAGGAAAAAAAAAAAAGGAAAAAACAGGGACGAAAACTTATGCACATCTTATCCCAAAAAAAAATGCCTGGCCAAAAGGGATAAAATGCCAGCATCTTATCCCAAAAGTGGATAAAATGCCAGCCTCTTATCCCAAAAGTGGATAAAATGCCAGCATCTTATCCCAAAAGTGGATAAAATACCAGCATCTTATCCCAAAAGTGGACGAAATAAATTGAAAATTGAAGGAATTTTAATTTAAATTTTAATGCCAAATTAAAACGTTCTTTATTTAAAATCACATCTTATAGGATACTAGAACTCCTTAACGAGAAAATATATCGGATATGTAACTGTAATATTGTAGAAAACGTATTTTAGAGATTGAATTGATTTACTATAAATTTTTGTTGCAAATAGAGCTCTATAGGAGTTATAACTACGAATAAATAATTATAAACCACCTTACACTTAAATACATATATACATACATATATATATATATATATATATATATATATATATATATATATATATATATATATAAATGATTCACATTGATTTAGAAAGTGTAAATTAGTGATAATTATAATTGTTATAATTATTTTATGATAATTATTTTTGACATTATAATTTATTTTATTTACTTTATTGACACGACAGAGCGGACTCATAAACTCATGAAGTATCCGACAGATAGAGATGACTTTATTACCTGACACCATAAAGTAATCAAATAAATTTTCCTGTCACTATATTACCGGCCACGTGTTTTCATACCTTTTATGGTGAAATACATTTACTTTCTGAGTATTTCTCCTTTTACCACGTAATATCTGAGTTACGCCTTGTTTTTCACGTAGTATTTGAGTTTTTTTTTTCTTGCTCTTTGTTTATCACATAGCTAGTATTGGAGTCTTATTTTTTGCGCTGTGTTTTTCGCCACGTAGTATTTAAGTCTTACTTTTTGCGCCTTGTCTTACGCGTAGTATTTGAGTCTTATTTTTTGCGCCTTGTTTTTCATGTAGTATTTAAGTCTTATTATTTTGCGCCTTGATTTTTAGTAATATTTGAGACTTATTTTTTGCGTTTTGTTTTTGCATGGTATTTAAGTCTTATTTTTTGCGCCTTGTTTTTCACGTAGTATTTGAGTCTTTTTTTGCGCTTTGTTTTTTACGTCGTATTAAAGTCTTATTTTTTGCGCTTTGTTTTTTACGTAGTATTTGAATCTTACTTTTTGCGCCTTGTTTTATTAACATAGTATTTGAGTTTTATTTTTTGCGATTTATTTTTCATATGGTATTTAAGTCTTATTTTTTGAGCATTGTTTTTTACGTAGTGTTTGAATCTTATTTTTTTTCCTTGTTTAACATTCAGGATAAGAAAGAGTTCCTGCTTTCTTTTCCCATTCCATCCCAACAAAAACAAATTCTTATATTTTGCGCAAAGAAAATTTTATAAAATATTTTTTTTCATACAATATAACATTTAATATTTTAACTTTAATGTTTTCTTAACTCTACGAAATTGACTCTTTTATATATTTATTTATTCCAATTCAATATTTACTTATCAATAACTTTTTAAAGAGTGTCTGTTACTTCAATTCTGTAAAGGCTACTAAGAAACAATGCTTGAATTTCTCAAATTGATCTACTTTAACATTGACTGAAAACAATGCAAGCAAAGACACACCGATGAATCCAGCAAAGCATAGCATTTTGCGAATTACATAAAATGCCCTTTCAGACCTCAGATTGATAAAACAAAAGGATCAATAACTCAATCTGTACGTTATGTGCTTATGCCAATTTCGGAAATATTTGAACTGCATGAATTTAAGCGTACTACTAGATTGGCAACTAGGCCTCACCGTTTTAATTTTGAACTCACTAGATACAACAGTCTTTTCTATTCTAACAGTTTTGTCTTGGATTTCTCACTTGTGGAGCTCCTTTCCGATTTCTTGCTTCCCTGCCAACTACAATCTTCAAAAAATTATATGCAACGCCAATTGCCATCTACTGTCTTCCTAAGCTTTGCTCCTTTATTGTGCCTTCCTTACTTCTCGTCACTAAAGTTTTCTCATTCTCTTTCACTCCTTGTAACCTAACGCGTCCTAGTGGCATTATCTTCTTGCTTGGGATGAAATGGTTAAAAAAAAACTAGAATTTACACTGGGTGAAAAATGCCTGCATACGGAGAAAAATGAACTTAGTAGCAATACAAAAATAGAAAAAGGTGTGAGACAAGGATGTGTCCTCTCCCCAGATTTATTCAAACTCTACAGCGACGCAATCCTAAGGGAACTGGAGACCTTACCAGGATTTATTATCGGTTGGTGTAATCTTAACTATATAAGATACACAAATGACACTATGTTGATGGTCGAATCGGAAAGAAAACTACAAGACCTATTAGACAAGACAGCTTGGTAAAAAGAAAGATAGAAAAAAAGGACGAGCCATTAATTACAAGAAGACAGAAAGTATGATCATCTGCAAAATAAAAAGCCTCAGATACAAATTACGAATTGGGGATGAAAACATCATGCAGGTGCAGAAG